TGCCTTTGACAAATAATGTTTTTGTTCTGTTTACTATGGGGATGCTGAGGGGTTTTTTCTATAACAGTTAAATTTAAGACTTAAAAGTTATAAAAGCATGTCTGACTATGTTCATCAAACGCAGCGTTTTAAGAAATGGCATTGTATATAAGCTATTTTGAGGATCTCCTCTCTTGGGTTTTTAGGTAGTAGTGGTTATCTTTTCTTTCTCCCCTAAATGTAGTACCCCTTCCCTTTTCGTTATAGTTTGTAGTCCATATAGAAAATGCAATAAAAAATCCCCTCCGGTGGGCCAAAAAAGAAGAAGAGAAGATTGGATTTATACCCCGCCCTTCACTACCCAGAGGAGTCTCAGAGCGGCTTACAAACTCCTTTCCCTTCCCCTCCCCACAACAGACACCCTGTGAGGTAGGTGGGGCTGAGAGAGCTCTGACAGAAACGGCTCTTTTTCAAGAACAGCTCTGACAGAACTACGGCTTGCCCAAGGTCATCCAGCAACTGCAAGTGGAGGAGTGGGGAATCAAACCCGGTTCTCCCAGATTAGAGTCCGTGCACTTAACCACTACACCAAACAGGCATGGGTCCATCTCCCACACTGTCCTCTGCAAGTCAAGGTCGGAGGGGGTTGGAACCAAAGGCTCACTTATAAACTCACTCTCCTCCCCCACCCTCTGTTCGGCTGTTTGCCTGAATGCCACAAGGCAAGCAGTGCTAAGAGCAATGACATGACTCCTGGAAGGGGTAGTGTGCAGACTAAATTTACAGATGTTTACTTATCTCATGCCCTTCAGATAATGAACACTGAACCAGGACTTCTTCTCCTTACACACAGTTCAGTGTTACAGCTCAAGCTCTCAACCGTGGGCTAGGATTGGCTGCGAACCAGGATGCGAAACCACAGCGTGACGTGGCCTTACAAAACCACGACGTGCTTCAACCGTGACTAAGCATTAGGTCACTGCTGAGTGAACTGCGGTTCCGGCATTTTCTCCACCTTTTTCTGACTGTAAGGCGATGGGTGCCCTTTAGGGGCTGGGCTTTGTTCGACAAGCACTACCCTGGTTTCACTGTATGCCTCGGTTGCTAACCAGGGTTAACAAACCATCGCTAAGTGTAATTCCAAACCCATCATTAAGCGTAATGTCTGAACTAGACTTTATTTATTTAAAACGTTTTTATGGGGCCCTTTCACCCGATCCGGGTCCCCTAGGTAGTGAACTAGGATTGCCAAACCCCCCCCCCCGGTTTTGGCGGGGGTCCCCCCCTTTGGGGGGGTTTCTCCCTGCGCGCGGCCACTAGGCCACTGGGGAAGCCCCACCCCTAAGCCCCAACACCCGCCGCCACCCCCTTCCCTTCTCTCTTGAGAGAGAGGAGGGGGGGGGGGGAGGGGGGTGGCGGCGGGCCAGCCACGTGCCCGATCTCCGCTCAGAGATCGGGCACGCGGGGAATTGCTGGCTCCCTGCAGTTAAAGGCGCCCTTTTAACTGCAGGGAGTCGGCGTTTCCGCGTGCCCGATCTCCATGGAGGTCAGGCGTGTGGGGAAATGCCAGCTCCCTGCAGTTAAAGAGGCCCCGTTAGCTGCAGGGAGCCAGCGCCCCTGTCAGGCGGGCGGGGGAGACATCCTCAACGTGACGTCATACATCGGGGATGCCCCGCCCCCTGCAGGGACACCCCCCAAAGTCCCCTGCTGGGGGTGAAAATAGGACTTGGCAACCCTATTAAGTGAACATAAAGACGTTAAAACGCTTGAACAATTAAATACACACTTAAAACGATGGAATAATTAAATAAAAACACATAAGCAAACAACACCAGAACCCGAACAAGGAAGGAGGGCCAGTAACCGTTACTGGGGGTATGCCAAATCAAACATATGGAGCAGAGGCCCATCAATGGCTATTAGCCGTAAGGTATAGATGGAACACTCTGTCTGGGGCAGTGATGCTCTGTCTTCTTGGTGCTGGGGGGGACAACAGTGGGAGGGCTCCTGGTGTTGCGGCTCCACTGATGGACCTCTTGATGGCCCCTGGTATTTTTGGCCACTGTGTGACACTGTGGGTGCGTTCAGATGGGGCGTTTCAGCCGGCATAAACTGTACCAATTGGAACCGGTGCAGTTTATGCCGGCTGAAACGCGATCACACTCACCTCCTGACTGCGCAGCACATCGCAATACGCCCGTCCACACACAGCGGGCGTCGGCGGTTTGTTTGTGTTTTTTTTTAACTTAGTTTGCGCATGCGCATAGGCAGCCATCCACAGAATGGCGATCTTCACGCATGCGCAAAACACCGTGCCTTACATTTAAAGTTTAAAGGTAAGGACTTACCTTTAAAGTTTAAAGACCAAACTGGCCTCCCTGGGGTCTCGGAGTCCTCCAAAACCTTAAACTAAGGACCTTTTCTTTTTTTAAAAAAAACAAATGCCGGGGCGAAGCTTCGCCCAAGTGCATATTGCCAACCTAACAAAAAAAAATGGCAGGCGAAAATCGGAAGCCTCGGGCTTCCGAACGGAAGTGGCTTGACAACGCTGGAGAGCGATCAGACGGGGGGTAAAGCAATTACAACCGTTGCACTCAGGATACCACCACTTGGGGACCTAGTGGCAGAATGCAACGGTTGAAAGCTCTTTGCAACGGTTAGGGACGGAAGGCAGATGTTCGCCGTGTGAACGCCGGTAAGTACACCGATTCCAACCGGCACCTATACCGTTGCAAATGCCCCGTTTGAACACACCCAGAGTGGTGGACTGGATAGGCCATTGGCCTAATTCAAAATGGCTTCTCTTATGTTCTTATAGACAGCTTCAAGAGGGGTTTAGATAAACAAAAAAGCCTTCACCCACAGTCGAAAAGCACCAACAGAGGGAGACGGACGACTCTCCTTAGGGAGGGAGTTCCAAAGCTTTGGAGCCATGAAGGGGAAGGCTTTTCCTTTGGTCGCCACTTGTCTACCTTCAGATGGCAGAGCCAATTGAAGCAGGGCCTCCCAGGATGATTGGAGTGAGCGGGGAGGTTCTTACGGTAGCAAGTGGCCCTTCAGGTATGCTACGGCTCAGAATTTCGCCTGTTCTTTTTTGAAAAAATATTTTTTTTATTTTCAAAACTTTTGAATAACATTAGCTGTTGTAGATTTTCCGGGTTGTGTGGCCGTGGTCTTGGCATTGTAGGACCTGACGTTTCACCAGTAGCTGTGACTGGCGTCCTCAGAGGTATAACACAGAAAGATGGAGTACTCTCAAGGTGAGAAGAAAAATGGTAGGCAGGTAATTTATATATCTACTCAGGAAGGTGGGGTAGGGCTGAGTTATTATCTTGTAGGAGTTTCCCCAGGCTGTGGACATGCTAATTAATGGAGGCGCTTTCCTGAGGAAGGTCTTTTGTGTATGGATTATTTCCTGAGGAGGTTCTTTGGTTATACACATTCAGTATAACAGTTAAAGCAGAATATCAAGTATAACAAAACATATAACAATAACCAAATTTAAGATTATTAAATACAGTAACAGTTAAACATTGTTCAACAAGCTGCATGTAGTCAAATTCTTGTGTAACCTTGTTGTTAAGTGACTAACACTGAGCATACTTTCTCCTTGTAAATATCTAATGAGAATCTTACCCAAAATAGTGGGAAACAGCATACCTTGATCTTAGTGATTATTGTACTTTCAAAAATAGACTAGGTCTTGGTAATGTGAATTTTCAGGGATTATTTCTCTTTCTGTTAAATATTCCACTACAAAAGGCCTTAAAAGTGCTTTTCTGGATAGAATTCTGTACAACGGCAGGGTGTTTCCTGGCCATATGCAGCCCTTTCCCTCCCTTGAAAAGGGGGTTCTTTTGAGATATTACTTGAACCCACCCTGGTGTCATCTGCTGTCTGCGATCCTATGTCAAGGACACATTCTCTATGGGTTCGTTACCTAAAACCGTAATTCAAGGCCTCCTCCGCTGTCACCACTCCGATATCGACGGTGCGGTTTTTCCAGATTCGGTTATTTGTGAGCATCTGCAAGAGCAAGGTTTATTTGCTTAGCTTCGGGAGACCGTCATTGTTCCTCCACTAGATGGAGGCTTGCAGCCAAGGCATGCTTATACGCTACAATTCTGTGGAAGTGTAGAGGGGGAAACCCCCCCCACAAACAAATGGATCTCAACTTTCATTTAAATAAAAAGCTGAGTTCCTAGTCCTTAGGACAGTCACTGTGGTGTAGTGGTTAAAGTGTCGGACTAGGATTTTGGAAATCACAGAAAGATCCCATGACGAAAGGAAGACGCAACTGAAAAGTTTTAAAGCTTGGGTTTCAGTGCCTATGACAAAAGAAGTCTGCGATTTCTCTTTTTCTACATTTATATGCCACTGAATGGAACGGAATTATGTCTCTAAAAAGCCAGCTGCAATGAAAGACACAGGGATGCCAGTCTCCAGGTGGGACCTGGGGATCCCCTGGAATTACATCTCATCTCGAGACGACAGAGAACAGTTCCCCTGGAGGAAATGGATCCTTTGGAGGGTGGACTCTATATGGCTTTGTACCTCAACAAGTTCCCAGACTCCGCCCCCTAATCTCCAGGAGTTTCCCAAACTGGACCTGGCTACCCTACACCTGACCCCTGCTGGCAGGGCTCTTTTTGTAGAAAAAGCCCAGCAGGAACTCATTAGCATAATAGGCCACACCCAACACCAGAAACCCATTAGTATATTAGGCCACACCCCTGACAGCACAGCTCATTAGCACATTAGGACACACCCCCATGTTACCAGAAGTGTGGTCATCCAGCCACACCCACCTTTTGCTTGTTATTCTGTTTACCTTGTTTGTTGTCAAAACCCAGGGCTTTTTTTGTAGCAGGAACTCCTTTGCATGTTAGGCCACACACCGTGTTTCTGCTGTTGGGCGTGGCCTATTATGCTAATGAGTTCCTGCTGGGCATTGCCAACCTGGCAACCCTACGTGACTGGACCACGATTCAGTATGTAGAGTCCGAGTGAAGCACTGGGCAGGGCCAGTGGCTCAGTGGGCAGAGCACCTGCTTTTCATGCAGGAGGTCCCAGGTTCAATTCCCGGCACTTCCAGGTAAAGGATCCCAAGGTGGCAGATGCAGGAAAGTTCAGCATTTCAGGCTGGGCTGGAAAACATGGGTCTGATAAGACCAATTATGACCGTGAGAGGGAAACCACGCCAACCGGTGGGGGAGGGCAGCAGGAAGCGAATGCCTTTCTCGGTGCCTCTGCCATTTGAACTTGGCACACCGAAGGGTCGTACGCTTTCCAAAGACCACAACAGTATTGGAAATATGTGTGTCGCAAGGTCTAAATTCAGTCATTATAGGGTTAATGTGTTTTCCTTGTGTGCTGTTGCTTAGCCTGACCTGGAAGGGAACCCTGGCGCAGAGCCAATGGAGAGAAAGCCCGGGAAACTGAAGCCTATTTACTAACCATCATTGGTTAATGCATTCAGGCGATTTCCTTCTAGGGGTCAAGAAGAAAGAAGAATCCCCATTACTATCTGTCTGTGTCTGTCTGTTGTGTGCTAGTAACAGCAAGCATGTAGTCTTAAGTGTTTATTGTTTTGTAGATTTCCCGTGTACCCTTCCCTTTAAAGACTCTTACATAGAAAGAAAATGCCTCCTCTCCAGTGAACAAAGATCCATTGCAAACTCTGAATATCTAACAATTTTTACCAATTTCCCAACAAATAGAACATGGGAGAAGAGACAGTCTAAGCAGACGTGCGGTGTATCCCTCCGGGAATTTTGAAAAGGGGGCTCACAGGAAAGCAGCCGGAAAACCAGGTCTTGGGAAGCATGCGCCTGGCTGTTGCGACGTGTGAAGCACAACATCAGAAGCAAGCCAGAGCTATTTCGGAGGGGGCACGCGGAGACATTCTTATTCAACCCTAAGATCTCACCTCTTCCACCTCGTCTATCCGGATGGAGAAATTCTTCACGAATTCGTAGATGTCATCCATCAGCCCCAGAGGCATGTCCTAAGCAAGGGGGAAAGTGGAAAAAGGACAAAGTTCTTGCTGAAGACACCACGGGACGGCTGTTTCTCCCCACTTCCCACAAGGATACACAAGTGAGCCACGGCCAGACTTGGTGCTCTTTGAGTTCCCCAGAGCTTTACCATTCCCTTTGATCGTTAAGGCAGGTCGTACACTCTTCACCGTAAACGCAAAATGGTAGATCTGCCATTCCAATGATAGATCTACCTTGGACGGCTTCAGACCAACACGGCTGACTACCTGGATCAACCAATCTGACAGTTTGTCACCTGTTTGCTCTGTTGCAGAACCCCAGGGCAATGATCCATGTCCTGTTATTACCTCACATTTATTATTACGGTCAGGGCTCTTTTTGTAGAAAAAGCCCAGCAGGAACTCATTAGCATAATAGGCCACACCCAACAGCAGAAACTCATTAGCATATTGGGCCACACCCCTGACAGCACAGCTCATTAGCACATTAGGCCGCACCCACATGTTACCAGAAGTGTGGTTATCCAGCCACACCCACCTTTTGCTTGTTATTCTGTTTACCTTGCTTGTGGTCAAAACCCAGGGCCTTTTTTTCTAGCAGGAACTCCTTTGCATGTTAGGCCACACACCCCTAATGTAGCCAATCTTAATGAGTTTGCTGTTGGGTGTGGCCTATTATGCTAATGAGTTCCTGCTGGGCGTGGCCAACTTGGGAGGCAGCCGGAACTCCGTTCCTGTGCGTCCCTGCCCAAAAATAGCCCTGATTATGGTCATAGACCAACAATCAACACAATAGGAGGCAGATAAATAACTGATAAAAGAACAGTGAGATTATAAAATATAATAACATCTAAGATTATAAACAGGAATCTAAAAAGTTTAAAATACAGACATGGTAAAACTAATATTAAGATCAGGAATTAAAATCTAGGCCTATTTGTGCTTCTTTATCTCTTTCCTAGCTCGGTATGCCAACAAACCAAATTTGGCCATCCATGTCCTATTTGTACTATCTAAGCAGGAAGAATAACATTTGCCTAGGCCAAAAGGGGTATCACCTGCATATCAAAGTAAACAAAGAGCTCAATTCCTCTCAGTTAGGGGAGCGGAAACCTTACTCTTATTCCAGAAGCATCGAGAAGCGTTGGGGGAAATCATGCTAGTGACTGGCTCAAGGGGGCAGTTGTCCAGTTGCACTATAAAATGACACCAGACAAAGGACTTGGGCAGAAGGTTTTTGCACGCATGCACGTCAGTGCGCCTCAGGGGATCGTCTTACCAGGATAGCTCGTTTCCACCATCAGGAAAGGAGGGGGGGGGCAAGGAAAATCGCACTGCACCAACCTAACGCTGCTGGGACCTACGTGTCTCCAAGTACGTGAGAGCATGTAGAAAGCTAAAGTTGTTATTTTATAGCATCAACTTACTTTTCTTGCTGATGAGGCTGAACTGTTTTGTAATCTCTTTTAATAAACCTCAAGCTTTTACCAGCGGGTGCTACTGTGTGTGCAAAGGTCCAAAGCCAGACTCGGTACGCTATCAAAGAGGGGATTTTTCCCAGGGTCCCAGGCAGGGGTCGTTTCATAGAAAAAGAGCTAGGGGAACTCATTAGCATAACTCATTAGTATATGCCACACCCCCTGACATCAGGGGCCCGGCGGTGGACCTGCAAGGCCGGCGGGAGTGTGAGGAAGCCCCGCCAAGACCCTCCCTGGCCCCAGGCAGGCAGGGGTGAGGAGAGGCAGGGAGGAAGCAACTTACCCTCCCTCTTCTCCTGCCTCCTCCTGGCTGAATGAGGGCCGGAAGCGGGGCGGCCGGAAGCGGGGGGCGGGGCTTCGTCATGTGCCCCGCCCCCCGCAACTCACTTGGGGGAACTGCGATCCCCCGCGATCCCCCCAAATCGACCTCTGGTTCCATGGAAGGAACGGGGGGGGGGGAGATCAGATCACCTCAAACAAGGCCGGAGGGGGTCAGGAGAACCCCAGGTCTTGTCGAAGCTGGAGTCCATGAGGTCTAGATCTAACTCTGCCATTTCACTGGCGCTTCATCTAGCCCCGCAGCGGTGTTTTTACCTGGTGCACTCCTCCTGGGCGGACGTACGCTGCGTGCATTCGGGCCCCGGAGACCCGCTCGTAGAATTCAAACATCTGCAGGAAAGTGACAAAGGGGGAGTAAGCCCAGAATGTAAAGAGCTCCTGAAGGATCCCCATCCATGGCCGGTCTTGCTGGGTTCCGGGCAGAGCGAACAGGACGGACCAGAGCAGGGCTTACCTTTTCTCTCTCCTCAAACATCCAGAAAAATGGAGTCATGGCCCCGATGTCCAAGGCATGGGTAGTAATGGCCATGATGTGGTTCAGGAGGCGCGTTATTTCCCCAAAGAGAACTGAAAAAGAAACAGAGACTTGAAGAAGAAGAAGAGATTGGCTTACAAACTCCTTTCCCTTCCCCTCCCCACAACAGACACCCTGTGAGGTAAAAGAAGAAGAGGAGATTGGATTTATACCCCGCCCTTCACTACCCAAAGGTGTCTCAGAGCGGCTTACAAACTCCTTTCCCTCCCCCTCCCCACAACAGACACCCTGTGAGGTAGGTGGGGCTGAGAGAACTCTTGACAGAAACTGCTCTTTTTCAAGGACAGCTCTTGTCAGAGCAACGGCTTGCCCAAGGTCATCCAGCAGGTGCAAGTGGAGGAGCGGGGAATCAAACCCGGTTCTCCCAGATTAGAGTCCGTGCACTTAACCACTACACCAAACTGGCTACTGGGGCAGGGGATCCAAGCCCCCAGTTGGGGTGGGGGATCCAAGCTCCCATTGCCTGCCACTACATTAAAATTTTTAAAAAACCCGGGAGTATCACCGCCATGACATCACTTCCAGGGAAAACCCCAAAATGACAGCAGGAAGCTCTAAGAATCACTGGAAACTCTATGGTTTCTGGCAATTCCTAGAGCTACCCATCGTCACTTCTGATTTTTCACTGAGGGAAAAACCGATTTTTCACTTAGTATTTAATGTTTGGTGTTAGCACTGTGAAATACTTCTTTATGAGGATGGAATGATTTCTGCGTGCTACTCTAGAGCCACGTACTTAGTCCTTTTTGTTGTACAATAACATCATCAAATTCCCAACTGCCCAAGACAGAACAGCCTCGATGGCTCATTCGTCTGCTTAGCCTCTAATGTGATATATGCTATCACGTGTCAACAAGGTCCTTCTGTCTCCAGTTATGGCTTTATGGATTGCCCTGGGAGGGGTATAGTTGTACTCCACCGGGTGGGATAGCAGTTCATACATAAGCTTTAGAATCATAGAATCATAGAGTTGGAAAGGACCTCCAGGGTCATCTCGTCCAACCCCCCCACACAATGCAGGAAATTCACAAATACCTCCCCCCACACACACACCCAGTGACCCCTGCTTCCATGCCCAGAAGATGGTTAAAAAAACCCCCTCCAGGATCCTGGCCAAAACTGACCTAGATAAATTTGCTTCCTGACCCCAAAGTGGCAATCGGCGTTTCCCTGGACATGTAAGAAAGGACCACAAGAACTAAGCACTGAGGCAACCCTTCCTGCCCTCCCTCTCGTGATCTGACTAAGTTCACAGAATCAGCATTGCTGACAGATGGCCATCTAACGTCTGTTTGAAAACCTCCCAAGAACCCACCTCCCGAGGAAGCCTATTCCACTGAGGAACTGCTCTGTCAGGACGTTCTTCCTAACGTTTAGCCGAAAACTCTTCTGATTTAATTTCAACCCGTTGGTTCTGGTCCGACCTTCTGGGGCAACAGAAAACAACTCTGCACCATCGTCTACATGACAGCCCTTCAAGTGGTTATTATATCACCTCTCAGTCGTCTCCTTTCCAGGCTAAACATATCCAGCTCCTTCAACCTTCCTCATAGGACTTGGTCCCCAGACCCTTCATTGTCTTAATTGCCCTCCTCTGGACATGTTCCAGCTTGTCTATATCCTTCTTAAATTGTGGTGCCCAAAACTGCACACAATACTCTAGTTGAGGTTATGACACGAACCCCCTTTATACAGTCCCAGTTCTGTTAGGGTTGGCATGTCCGGACCTAGTCAGAGTGGACTT